CAGGCAGTTGCTTAAAGTCCTCTGCCCCTTTCTTGCAGGTAAGTGCTGTGTGTGTTTTATTATTGTTTATTTAGTCATGCATATCTAGGTAGATAGAACCCACCTTAATTGAAGTACTTTGCCGCAGTTGGTGGGCTGCATACATCTTGGCCATTTATGTATGTCTAAATCTCCAATTTTTATTGCACATATTAGTACTTAGTTATGTCTCCTCTTGTTTTGCCTTGCATCTCTGGTCTTGTTTTATTTTGTCTTGTATTCCCAGTTCATGTACAGTCCTGTCCTGCCCTGTTCTTGTTTCCCTCATGTCTTGTGTACATGTTCTGGGTTCTGCTTTCTGTCCTGCTCCGGTTCTGGGTTCTTCTAGTCTTGTCTTGTTTTCTTGTTAGGTGCCCGTCCTAGTCTTGCCTTGTTTCTGTACTGGATACATGTCTGCTGTAGAGCCTCCCTATCCAGTTCCTGGGAGGTCTGCATATCATCAAGCTCCTAGCTCTTGGAGTCTGCAGAAGCTGCATCAGGGTCCTGGTATGTGGGCACACAAATGCCAGGGGGCTTGTGGTTACCCTGCACTAGACCCTGATAGTCCACTTCCACGCTAGGACTCATCTTATCATCAGGCACTCAGGGGTCCCTCTCTCCTTGACAGAGGCTAGATTTTGAATAATTAAGGACACCAGCCGCTGCCAATTAAGGCTCCCATTTCCTAGGGTATTTAAACCTCATTGAGATTTTCTTTGTGCCCTGTTGTAGTTTCCATTGTGGTTATCCAACAGTGCGCTTATAGTATTGATTCTTGTGTATTTTGACCTTTGGCTTACTTGACTATTCTGATTTCTGAATCCATTGACCTCGGCCTGCCCTGTATTCTTCTTTTGTAACATTAAATCCGGCCATTCTAAGGTCCGGTAATATATTTTAGGGTTTCTTCTTTTCTTTTTTTGTTACTTAAGTTCTACTTGTTGGGCATTTAGTGTATCCTAACATCCCACACATGAAATTCAAGAACTGACTTTTCACTTGGTGCCTAATATATCCCACCTCTTGACAGGTGCCACTGTAACAACATAATCAATGTTATTCACTTCACCTGTCAGTGGTTTTAATGCATATATTACACACACAACCCCCACACTTAGCAAATTCCACACTCAATCACACCAGTCACTCAATCCCATTCAATCACATGTAAGCAATTCCAAAAACACATTCAGCCAACCTCACAATCACACCCTGCCAACCTCACCCTCAATCACACACTCAGTGAGTCAATACCACATTCAATCACATGTGAGCAATTCCACAATTTCATTCAATCCCTAGAAAATTAACCATACTCCGCCAACTCAACACTAAATGACAGTCAGCCAACCCCACATACAATCACACTCAGCCAACATCACACACAATTATATTCAGCCAACCACATAAACACAAAAATCACACTTAGCCAACTCCACAAATACATATCCCACTCAGTGAACCATTGCAATCACATACAGTCACTTAACACATCATGCTCACGTCATAGGTGAATTGCTTAGGGGGAGAAACAAGGGGGCCCATTCTTTTATTTTTGCACCTGGGTTATGCCCCATCATTCCTCCAACATCGGTTTCCTGTAAATCAGGAGGAACTGGTGGGCGGGCAGCAGGGGGTGCAACAGTAGTGCAAATTGTGTCACTGGTTCTGCCCCAAAGGGGATGGACAGTCCCAGAATGGGAGCAGGTTTGCCCGAAGAATTGGTAGATCAGCCTGGCATGTATGCCACAAAAGAGTGACTCCAGGTAAATAAACTGCGTTAGCAGGAAAGGATCTTGGAAAAATTTGACCCAATTTTCTGTAAGGATGTCAAACTTAATTTACTATATTAATTTTATGTGGTAAAAAACTGTATCTGGACAGTGGTTGGCATGGCAACAGTGGATGAGACGGTGATGCAAATCATGTCCCTGCTTTCCCAGATTAATCGCAGGTTGGGACGAAAAAATGGTAGGCCCCAAAAGCTTGACCATAAGCCTGTGATTGTCCATTAGCCTCTATTCCAGCAGTCCAGAAGTGACTAGGCAAGATGTAAGGAGTGGACTTTTAACAGACATGTGCCTTTTCTGCCTAATGCAAAATCCAGCCCTGTTTGACTTAAATCAAACATCACATGAGGTTTTACAGAGTTAATTGTGGCATATGATGTCTGCATCTTTTCCAGGCAGCATAGGGGGAGCATGATTATGATAAATACAAACAAGTATTTTGTAACCAAAGAAATAGGTTGGAAGCTTACAACAAATTCAGCAGCGTTTGACATTAAATCTAAATCAGCCTATGAGCAGAGTACTCATGCAACACAACATCTCTCTCCCCCCAGGAGACAGAGCAGTCATGGCTATGATGAGTTCTCCATTATGAGAAACTTGCCCCAATTTTCGGTTAGGATAACTTAATTTACTATGTATAATTTTACTTGGTAAAAAAAAAACAAAAAAAAAACCTTTTTGCATACAATAGTTTTTTTGATGATAGAAAGAACAGCATTAAAATGTATATTGCACTTCATAGGAAGGGTAGCCATTAGTGTGGGTTCATACATGAGTTCATTACACACTGGAATCTAATCAAACAGACTGAGACAATAATTGATCTATTGATGCTAACTCCAGTGGATTTGCTAAATACAAATACTGTTTCAGAAGCTTTGCTCATTTCTTGTATTTGATAGTCAACCTATTTCTTCATTATCTCTAACAACAAGAGCGCAGGTACCTTTTTTCTTTGGTTTTTACTGTATGTATTGGGGCTGATGTGTACTATGGTCGTTGCTGCCGCCCAGTAGTGAGGGGAGTTTGAGCGCTGGACTTGTTTTTTTTGTATTTGTATTCACTTTTGTATCACACAGCTATGTTACAATGCTGCCGTCCATCCCATGTGTTCCTCATTAGAGGGTTAATAAGCATGCAGGGGTGTATATAAAAAAAATACCCTTTTCTGTCTCATTAGAGATACCCTTGTCAGAAGGTCAAGGAAGCAAGCTGAAAGGTTAGTGTAGGACCCACCTGAGAGGTTTGCCTTGACATTGCAAGTGGGCTAAGTCTCTCATGGCCATTGGAGAAACTAAATATCCTCAATTTGTAACTTTTTTCGTTGGTATTTACTGTATGCATTGGGGCTGATGTGTACTATGTTCGTTGCTGCCGCCCAGTAGTGATGGGAGTTTGAGCACAGGACTTTTTTTGAATTATCTCTAACAAGCTTATACAAATAATTTCCAACCCTGAGACTGAGTATTTTTTATTTCACACCTAAGCCATAATGCAAACATTGTATACTTTGCATTTTTGCCTCACTTACTACTGTTTATATCTGGTTCCACGGACAGGGAGCTAGCAATAGTGGTTTAATGGTGTATACAGCACCAATGATGGGAATTGTGATTCTCTCATGCAAGTTTAGGAACAATGGTGAAATTACAATATTAGTAACTAGTGATGTCCCAAACGGTTCGCCGAACGGTTCGCCGAACGGTTCGCCACGGACGGCGAACATATGACCCTGTACCTCACAGTCAGCAGACACATTCCAGCCAATCAGCAGCAGACCCTCCCTCCCAGACCCTCCCACTTCCTGGACAGCATCTATTTTGAAGCTGCATTCTTAGTGAGCTGTCCAGGAGGTGGGAGGGTCTGGGAGGGAGGGTCTGCTGCTGCTGATTGGCTGGAATGTGTCTGCTGATTGTGAGGTACAGGGTCAAAGTTTACTCAATGATGACATGGGGGCGGACCGAACAGCGCATATGTTCGCCATCCGTGGGGAACCGTTCGGCCAACCGTTCGGGACATCACTATTAGTAACATAAGTAACCCAGGTTTTATTAAAAAGTCTTATGCCCATCAAGATCATTCAATATCAGGTGAAACATTTTAAGTGATTCCCAATTTACTTCCAGAAAGCATCCAAACCTGTTTTAAAGTCTCTACAGAATCTGACAAACAGACCTTTTTAGACAGGGAATTTCCCATCATTATCTTTTTTTTATTTTTTTGCTGTAGAGAGCCCTTTCCTTTGTTGTAGATTGAATCACCTTTCTTCAAGTCTCAAAGGATGAACTTGTATACAGTCATGTTAATGAGCAGGTTACCAGAGAGCTGATTATACCTACCCTTTATATGTTTGTATAGAGCTATCATATCCCCTCTGAGACGTCTTTTCTTTAAAGTAAACCAGAGTAGTATTTCAAATATTTCAAGCCTTTCTTCATAAATTAAATCTTCCATCTCCACTATTAATTTTGCAGGCCAGGTTAATTAATTGTAAATATTTGATTTACATTTGTTACATTTGCACAAATCATGAAAAATATTTATATTTTCACATTGAACGTATGTTGTGTATCTGGTGTGTGTATTAATAAATGTATATTTTTGTTCAGAACAGTAATAATTTCTTATTTGCGAAACAGTAATTTAATATAAACAATTGTAACAAAAAATATCAATGAATATTGTGAGAACCTGCATTCAAAGGGTGATTAAATAATCTATAAAAAAGGGTAGTACATTAGTCTGTAAGTAAATAACTGATGACATAAAACCTATTTAGTGTTTATTTTCATAGCTATTATTGCCACTAACATAGCAATACATTTTTTCAAAGAGACATATTCAGTCTCTTGTGCCAGAACTTTTCTGGTAAGGAAATTCTAATTCCAATCCACGTGTAGGTTTATGTAAACTCTAGTTCTGTAACATATACTTGTATTTAGAAGCTGCATTTCCTCAAATAGGTGTTAAGGTGCCATTTAGGCCATGTGATACTTCATACCAAGTTAATCCCTAACACTTTTGTCATTTTAATAAAGTTTTCTTGGTCAGTCATTTTACCCATGTTGTGTAGTGAATGACCACACTTCATTACCTCATTAAAATCAATACAGTCAGACCATAAACACATTATCACAATTAATCAAAGCTCAATTGTCATTTTTTTTGTAACCATTTTGGTTTGTTGTCCATTTTTATTTATCAATCTGTTTTCTACTGAAATTTGCATTTTAATTAAAAGACATTCACAAAGAATATTCGGCATACATACATTAGTTCCTTTTTCCATTCATGTTACATGCTGCTCTTATAAACGTTTTTCTTCATAATTTAGTAAAAACAAAACTTTGACTGTAGAAATAATTTTATTTAATATGGATCCCCTGTAGCTAAATGGATAAATGAAAATAAAAATGCATTGAATAACACATGACTAATGTGGTAAAGTAAAAATTGTCTCTGTAAGGCAGGGTTTTCTGCAACCCGTTGCAAAGGCAAACATTGTAACTTAATAAAGCTTTCAGCATCACTATACACAAAAAGGTAGTTGATTAAAAAAAAATGTTTTCATTTTAATATGATTTTACCAAACATCATCAACATTTTGGAATAAGCACTAGTTATTCCTTAGTGAATCAGCCATTTTGTTGTTATCACAAGCAAGTAGCACAGCTTCTACATGTAATGTAAGAATATACCAATTTCCTGTGATCCCTTTTCTGTTAGCTATATTGTCCAGTCTACAGGATACTGTTAATGTAAGAAATACTTTATTGTAAAGTATGGAAAAAGATAGCTGTAGTCCAAGAACTTGTGTGTGTATAAGATTAGTACTATTACATTTAAAAATGTACATAATTTTAGCATTGTTTTGTTAAATAAAATATCAGTAATTTAAATAAATACTTTACTATTCGTTTCTAATGTATATTTTAAAATTTCCCTTTATAAATAGAAAGTTTGTTACACAATAACTCTTATTTAGAATAATCTATACATGTACATCGTAATAATTATTATGCAAGCGTTTTTTTCGAGAAATCTAGAGGTTGCAAAATTGGGCATAATATTAGCTTTACATGAATATTATTTATACTTAACGGTGAGTGCCTGAGCCAATTACCATGGAAACAAGTTATAGTGATACATCTAGGCATTAGGAAAAACATATTACTGATGTATGAACACAAACTAAACTACATTAAATATGCATACATAATTGTTCTAGGTATAACAGTGACTATTGTATAGTGATGACTTGGTTGGAAAGGGAAACATTTTTAGTCATAAATAGAAAATAAGAGTCATTTTATTTCAGAAAAAAAAATATATTTTTGTTTTGAAAGCAAGCTTTGGATTCTTTCTTGCATCTGTGTAACTTGTAATGTTTCTACAACAAACTTTCTATGAAAAATAAGCAATAATAATTTCTAATGTATGTACCCCTTTAAATGTATTTTATAATTTATAGAAAAGTAATATTAAATTAATAATGGGTTTACAAGATGTGTTAATAAAAAAAAAAAGTCTGGGATGTACATTTTGCTGTTCTCACAAATAAATTAAAATGCCTTGCATTAAAGGAACACTATAGTGTCAGGTATACAAACATGTATTCCTGACACTATAGTTCTGGTATGTACGCCCCCTCCTCCCCCGCTTAGATCACTCTGAAAAGGTGTTTAAACTCACCTTTTTTCCCACAGCGTGCCAGTCTTGCTGCGGCTGGCTCTGCCACATGAAAGCATTATGAGGCTACTGCGCATGTGCAGCAAAATGTTGCGCTGTACTAATCAGCATCTCTTTATAGAGATGAATTAAGTCAATACATCTCTTTGGAGAATGTTCAGTGTCTCAACATGGTGTGTGGAGGTGCTGCACACTGTGCACACTGTGCAGCACTGACACAGGAAGCACCTCTAGTGGCCGTCTAAGTGACAACCACTAGATGTGTTACTAGGCAGCAAGGCAAACACTGTCTTTTCTCAGAAAAGGCACCAAGTATATTGAAAAGCCTACAGGGACAGGCTATAGACTTCAGAACCACTACAATAAGCATTAGTTTAAAGGACAATTGTGTGGCAAAGATACTGAATAATTGATAGGATATGTTGAATTTGATAGGTAAAGATTTTATGTTAGCAATGTTGGAAACAAACCTCATCTAAATTGATTGAATTTGAGATTATTATTTTTTACTTACGTTTATTTGTCTAATATTGAAGGAACACTATAGCATTAGCAATACAAACATTTATTCCTAATGTTATAGTGTCTTATACACTGTTTAGGTAGTCTGGCCCTCTTTAAGGGTAAAAAAGTTGATTTACTTGCCTTGTGACGTTGGACGGGGGAGCTGACGTCGGCGGGGGAGGAAAGGGTCACCAGCGCTGAGGGAGCCCGGTGCTGGATTAAGGTAAGTAACTAAATGGGTTTTAACTCCTTCAGCGCCACGGGAGGGGGACCCTGAGGCTGCGGGCACCCTCAGGGCACGATAGTGTCAGGAAAACCGCTTTGTTTTCCTGACACTATAGTGATCCTTTAACCTAATGCTTGCTCATTAGCCCTTCGCTTAAGCTGCACAGGGGGATGGGGTTATTAAGACTCTCATTTAGCATTACATTATAAAATTGGTTTAACACTGAATGGAAGGAAAGCGCCAGGGGACTCCAGACACAATAACCACTTCAATGCGATGAAAATGAAGCAGTATCAGTGTGATTTTGTCTATTGTCCGTAAAGAACATTCTTCTTCAACATTTAATCTGTACTTATTGCTTGTAGCTTTTAAAATACAGTATCCCTAGCTTCAATTTAACATTTTTGGGGGATTTGAGAAAATACCCAAAACAGAGATTCAGCCTTACCATAGGGGCCTTCAATAGAGTACATTGGTAGCTTTCAATAGAGCAGACAGATATTTGTTCTTGAGACAATGCATACCAAATACCTTACGATTTGGTGAAAATTGTCTTGTTTCCAATAATTGTGATAGCAGGCCATGTCTCCTGTTTGCTTTTGCGTTAAGCCATGCAATAATTATAAGTACCGTACCTCTTTACGGGCTTTGTTTTGTGTTTAGAATAGTATATTAAGAAAAAGAAATCTGGTGAAATGTAATATACAATAGTATTACTTATAATTGAATTTTATCAAAATTATGTCCTTAACCCCTTCAGGGCGGAGTCAATAGTACACGTTCTGATCAAAGCAAAATGTAAACAAAAACTGGAATTTGCGCTATATGTCTGTTTGTAACTAAGTGGCTACTAAAAATGACTGGTCATACCCCGTTTGCAATACCTTGGGTTGTCTACTTTTGCAAATGGTATGTTATTATGAGGGTAATTCTTATTCCTGGGCTACCATACGATCTTAAAAGGCAACATAACCAATCTGGCAAATTTTAATGTGAACAAAATGAAATGCAAGCCTTATATTCGACTCTCTAACTTTCCAAAACACCATAAAACCTGTACATGGGGGGTACTGTTTTACTCAGAAGACTTTGCTGAACACAAATATTAGTGTTTCAAAATGGTAACTTGTATTACAACAATAATATCGTCAGTAAAAGTGCTGTTCATTTGTGAAAAATGCAAAAAACTGTCACTTTTACAAAAAATATCATTGTTGTAATACAGGTTACCATTTTGAAACACTAATATTTGTGTTCAGCAAAGTCTCCCAAGTAAAACAGTAACCCCCATGTACAGGTTTTATGGTGTCTTGGAAAGTTACAGGGTTAAATATAGTGCTTGCAATTCAAATTCTCTGCACTTTTTGCCTGAGTTGTCAGGCATGTCAATCAAATTTTAACTAATTAAATCACATAATTATGTTAAAATAGTACTTAAATATATACGTAGAATTTTAATATATATACATATATATGTATTTAAAGTCTACGTGTACACTTATGTAGTTATTTATGTAATTATATATATTTATCTGTATATATATATATTTGCGGTTATTTGTATTTTATATATAGATAGATATAGATAGATATAGAATGTCATTCTAAGTGTATTTTGTTACCAATATATGATCCTGATGAAAGTCTTATATGACTGAAACGTTGATCACTAGATGTTTTAAACCGTTTTTTCATTAAACTTTGGACTTTTAAACCGTGAGTGCAGCCATACATTTTGATTTTCTTTTATATATATATATATATATATATATATATATATATATATATATATATAAATAACAAAATACAGTTAGAATGAAATTACATATGTATATATAATTTATTTAAATATTTAAAAAAAATATTTTATTTATTTGTATTATATATATAATATTTATATCTTATATATATATGTAACATCATTCTAAGTGTATTTTAATACTAATATATGTACTTATATTAATATTAAAATACACTACGTATGATGTTACATATATATAAGATGTATATATATTATATATATAATATATATATATATATTTTATATATATATATAAAAATGCATTAAATTTATTTTAACATGTTTAATATTTTTTTTTTTACACTTCCCACTAGCAGGGGGACTGTCTGACATTTCAGACAGTCCCCCTGCGGGCAGATCCACAGCCAGCTATAGGGGGCCATGTGATCACATGATCACATGTCCCCCGGGGGCCTGATTTGCCGGGGGAGGGCTGCCTGGGCTGTCAGGTAGTCCTCCCGAAGAGGATCGCGGCGGAGGTAAGTAAATCTGACCTCCTGGGACTGAAAGCCGTTACGGCTTTAAGGGGTTAAAAACTCTACATTAGCATCAGCACGATGATCAAAATACCAAACATAAGATCTGTAGTAAAGTAAATTTTTTCTAATTCACTGCAACTAAGTATTTTGGATGTTCTAATACCTTTGTAAGCAATTAACATCACCTGCCGCCGTCTACATTAAGTCTCATGCATAATGTCTAGGTAATGGTAGGTCAGTGACCCATGATACACACCTTCATCTTGTTATGGTTATGGAACAGAGACTTGATGATGGCTCAAGTCCAAACCCAAATAAAACTGGGCAAATGTATACTGAAATGTGTGATGTATTTATGACTGTGGGATTTGAGACTGACTTCAAGGTGCCTTGAGGTTCTCACACATTATGGAAACTCCAGAGCATATTTAAAGTTCTCAGTTTCCTTATTTGTGTATTCCTGCAGGTGGCAGCATGGCAAAGTTATGTAAATAGTTTAGTTCAGGATAAAAAGGCTATCTTGTCCTACAGAACTTTGTGGTTGGTGTATGTATTATTATTAATTATTATTTTATTATTTATATAGCGCCATCAGATTCCGTAGCGCTGTACAATGGGTGGACTAACAGACATGTAATTGTAACCAGACAACTGGACGTACAGGAACAGCGAGGGGGAGGGCCCTGTTCAATGAGCTTACTTATGTATGTATAATTGAGCTAGAGTTGCAGTGGATGGTCTTACATGACAACTTTTCTGCCTAACAATTTCTTTATTGCCGTAAATGTATGATATTTGAATGCAAAATCTGGAATCTCCTGGGTATACTGGCAATTGCAAGCAGTACACCTATGGTATATTCTTGCGAGTTGCTGCATTGAAAGCTTATGTAAGTTGTTTACATATGTAAAAATCCTTATGACTTATTCCACATTTTTTTAACCCTTTCAATGCCAGGGGCATGGCCAAAACATTCCAAAGCTATGTGGTAAAAAGCAAAATAACATAACATTTTCTGTAAATTTTATTATATTTCATTGAGTGAGCTATACATGATATGTTTTAATGATAGCATCTCTTTAACAGATGATTTTGAGTTATTTTAGTATAACTCCTATGGCACAATCCATATTTCCTTCTCCAGTTTACAGTAAACAACATTGCATGTGAATAGCGTTGCAACACTGCTCAATTTGTAGATATACATCTGTATTCTGCATCATCATTTACAGAAATACATCATATTGACATTTGCAATAGGCAATTCAATTGCCCAAATTATAACTTATAAATCTTGGTTTCTGGCAAGGTTATTCGCTAAAGTGAAATTCTAATTTATTGTCAATATAACCAAACTGGAAAATTCTTTAAGCTAGCTATGCTTTCAGTTTGGTTACTCTGAACTTAAATTGGAAACTCACGTTAGTAAATCACTCTTTGGATTTCTCAGTAATGATACAGGTATATTAACACATAGACGAGAAGCAGAAGCCTCAACATTATTCACCACATTTCCATATGGAGGAGATAACCTGCTATCACATGGTGTCCAAGTGTATAGAAGAGGCCAAGTAACTATGATCGGCTTTTACCTTGAGTTCCATCATCTCTGCTCTTGTAACACCAAAGAGACATGCTTCAGCGCAAATAAATCCTATGATTGATATAATTCACTTGTGCTCAAAAGAGAATATCTTTTATAAATTGTTTTGTTTGTGGGAAGAACACCATTTTTGACCATAGGACTTGTAGAATTCCAACACCAAATGTTCTATACTCAGTGTACTGGGGGTAGACAGCAAAGAATGTAACAGTCTTAGAATCTTGTTGTACCAGTTGTTTGCATTAAAATCTCATGCCATAAAGATATTTCTTTTTCATTCACATTTTCTATTTGTTTCATACGTTCACCAACTTTGCCTTATAAGTTCATGTTTTATTGTCTTTTAGCAGTGAATTATGAATGTTGTCATACACTTTCTCCTTACTAATTGTGCCGTGCTACATTCCTTCTTACTTACTGCAGTGCCAAAGCATGCAATGACAATTGAAATCTTTTATATTAAGAAGAAAGGCAAAGGAAAGCTATGGTTTACATGTTGTGTGTGTGTGTGTGTGTGTATAAATAAATATATATATATATATATATGTATGCACATATACACACTTTCAACATATCTATGTGGGCTTCTTAGTACAGATTCTAATATTCTAAAGGGCTTAAAAAATTGTATAAAAGGGGCCCTTTATTGTTAATTTAGTATTTAGAATGCTTCTAAATTCACGCAAAGAAAATACAGATAGTACTGACAACTTTAAACCAATGCTGAAACTCTAAAAGCTTATATTTAATCATGGTTTTTTTTTTTCCTTTTAGGCAAGGATACACAGAAGGAGCAAAACCCATCTGTAATAGTAAACAAAAAAGTTCTTTCGAAAGCCTGTGAAAGCTTTTTGTATTGAAGTTGGTATATTCTGAGAACCCATTAGGACATCTGGCTATGTAGAGATTGCGAGGAGAAGTCTGAAGTCGACCTTGGGTGAGACTCTGTCCCTCCCGATCCCCACCAAATCCCATTCTTTTGAAGTCTTCTAGCGCGCTTAAATTAACCATTCCTTTTTGCTTTCGTCAATTGTCTCTGTAAAGTTGGGGTCGTTGTTAATAATGGCTGCATCAGCGGTGTCGGCAGATTCAGCTCCCTTGGCTTCATTCGTGTGATATGTCCCCTTGTGGCGGAACATGTAGCGTATGAGAAACACCAAGGTGCAGAGTATAGTGAAGATCACCACAGCTATAACCCCTTAACAGAAAGAGAAAAGTGCATGGAATAATTGAAATACGAACATTTTCTATCGGAACATTCACAAAATAATGGAAAATCCAAATCACTGCAATTTGCAAATATTCATATGATTAAAAAAAGTTTATACTTTTTACTGCACCATTATGTTGTCTCATACACAATAAATGATTGTTGTACCTTTAAAAAGTATAACCTAGCTTCCTTTTCTGGTAATTATTAACCCACTCAGAACAAATGGATGGGCATATCTTACGGTTTTCATGTTTGCACAAGTTTCTTATACTTGTACATTTATATTATCTCAGTGAATACTGGAAGGCATCATGAATCTCTATTATAAATACCTATTATTCATTCTATACACAGGATACCATCAGGAAGCTAAACTACTTAGTAAACACATACTGTAATTAAGGCCATTGGATGGAAACACTAGCTATTTCAACTGTGTAGATACACAGGGCATCACCTTAAACCAGTCGCAATTTGTAAAAATGCCGGCAGTCAAAAAGGATCCAAACAAGTCGAAAAGGTGGCCAAAAGAAATTCTATAGTATTCAGTAAGAACATACAATTACAATAGAAAGTTCTTATTACTCAATAAACACACACTTTGGGAGCTGGAATCTCTGTACATAATTTTACAATAGACACCTTTTTAACCAGTCAATACTTATGGCCATGAAAGGAATTTCTGAAAACAAGCTGTTCAGAAGAACAAAATGGAAGTCAATGACTTAGTAAACGGGGCATACTAAGGCTTTACTACATAATAAACATGATGGTCAGCAACAGTAAGCCTGCATATTTCGTAACTTAGAAAAAAAGAAGAGAATAGGCGCTCGCTATAGTGATCAGGCAGCAGTATATACACAAGGATTCCCAAACCTTGTAAGTGAATAGTGGAAAAAGAAAAACGTATACCGCGCTTAATTTATATATATGAAATATACATACATATATCTTGAATATTCCAAATGGATCGTAACCTCAAAAAGAAAAGATTAAGAAACAAATAATAGTGCAATACAGAAAATATATTCTTTAGAGCAGATGGTATAAGGCTAAGTTCAATCCACTCAC